CTCCTCCTCCTCCTCCTCCTCCTCCTCCTCCTCCTCTTCCTCGGGTCGCCTACGGCCCCGGTGGAAACCGTGCACCCGAACGGCCCCAGAACTACCGTCGTGGGCCCCAGAGGGGAACGAGAACCGCGCGTCTGTTCACCCCTCGTTTATTGCCACCCCGTCAACCAACACCCGAGGCCTTCTTGGGATGATTTCAATGGTGAGGTCATCATTGTCCCTGCAGTTGGGCTCGACGACCACACGCATGTTCGACACACCGAGGTGGCATAACTGTGTGTGTGAGAGGGGGTTCCCTTCTGTCCTTGTAGCCGATTGGGGGCGACATTCTCTGAAGGTACTGTTCTGGGTGCCAGGGCTAAATCGCGATTTTGAAAACTAGTTTTCCTCCACCTGAGTAAATGTGGAACGATGAAAGGGTGAATCTTCGATTCGCAACGTGCCGCGAGGTTCCGTGCCAGATAAGACGGATGTCCAAACGGGCGGCCTGCATGCGCGAAACTATTGTGTCACATGCTCGAATCGTATTTTGTGATGAGGCGTTGAACCAAACGCCCTCTCTTCTCCGCCTTCCTCCCTTTTCTCTTGTTTCGCCTGTCATACCATTCCTTCTCGTCGTACTCCTCTGCCTTCTTCGCTCATCCTTCCTCGACCGTCCTGCTTTTTCCTCACTCGCTCCTCCTTCCTCGTCCATCCTGCTGTCTTCCTCCTTGCTATTGTCGTCCCTCTCCGTCCGTCAGTGCCCTGCCTCCCTTTTCGTTCCTCCTTTCTTTCTCCTGTTCCCTCTTTTTTCATTGTAAGTCTTCCGCTCTCTCTTTCTCTTCCTGCCTCCTACCCTCAGGGCGTCGAGGTCTATATATCTGGGAGGGCTTCGCCCCCTGCCGCCAGCCCCGTCTCTCGGATATTGGGGTTTGCAAGAGCTATGTTGTGAAGCCTGGGCGCAGTCGTGAAGCAGCGTCGAAACTCCGATCGGGGGCCACTGGAGATACGAACGTGCCGAAGTTCATCAAAAGTTTAAGGAACATCGCAGATGTCGGCTTCTTGGGCCCCTCTTGGGGGTGCTCTTGGAGCGCTCTCGGGGGCCTCTTGGGAGCCTCTTGGGCCGTCATGGGACCATCTTGGGCGCCTCGGGGCCCTCTTGGGCCCCCTCGGAGGCTTCTGTACCGTCTTGGTGGCCTTTCATGGAGGATTGTGTCCTCGAGCGCGCGAACATTGTACGCTTTCTATGAAGGTTTATGATTTCGGGGACGCAGAAAACGCGTAAGTTATGAGGGATCGTGGCTTCGGGGACGCAGTTATCGCGCAATGTACGAAAGAGTATTGCCTTGGAGACGCGAATCTTGCATAATTTACCGAGACTGTTGGTTTCGGGAGCGCGAGCACAGCGTGATTTTCATGGTTTACGGCCTCCAGGATGCGAATGTTGTGTAATTTATACGGGGTTATGGTTCGGGAGCGCGAATCTGTTGTAATTTACGCGGGAGCATGGCTTGGGGGCGCGAATCCCATGTATTTACCTAACATCGAAGGCTGGTAGGTTTCTAGTGGTGTAAAAAGAGAGCAGCACATTACTCCAACATTACTCCACAGGGGGGTCTGGGCAGCCGTTGGGGAGCCGTTGGGGGCCGTTGGGGGGCCGTTGGGGTTTGCCGGGGGGGATCGTTTTTCGCATACAGTCACACACTTCGTGCTTTTCGATTTCCCAGAACTCCATTCCCGGGCCACATTCTGAATGCCCGGAGCCAACTGTACGCCACTTCGTGCTCTTCGACTTCCCAGAACTCCATTCCCGGGCCACATTTTGGATGCCCGGAGCCAACTGTAGGCCACTTCGTGCTCTTCTACTTCCCAGAACTCCATTCCCGGGCCACATTTTGGATGCCTGGAGCCAACTGTAGGCCACTTCGTGCTTTCGAGTTCCCAGAACTCCATTCCGGGCCACATTTTGAATGCCCGAGCCAACTGTAGGCCACTTCGTGATCTTCGAGTTCCCAGAATTTCATTCCTGGGCATGATTTTGAATGCCCGGAGCCAACTGTAGGCCACTTCGTGTTCTTCGAGTTCCCAGAATTCCATTCCCAGGCCACATTTTGAATGCTGAGGCAGGCTGAGGCTGAGGCTGAGGCAGGCTGATGCTGAGGCAGGCTGAGGCTGAGGCTGAGGCTCATGCAGGCTGAGGCTGAAGCAGGCTGAGGCCGAGGCTGGAGGCAGACTGATGCTGAGGCTGAAGCAGGCTGAGGCTGAGGCTGAGGCAGGCTGAGGCTGAGGCTGAGGCAGGCTGATGCTGAGGCAGGCTGAGGCTGAGGCTGAGGCTGATGCAGCCTGAGGCTGAGGCAGGCTGAGGCTGAGGCCGAGGCTGAAGGCAGACTGAGGCTGAGGCTGAAGCAGACTGAGTCTGAGGCTGAGGCAGGCTGAGGCTGAGGCTGAAGCAGGCTGATGCTGAGGCAGGCTGAGGCTGAGGCTGAGGCTGATGCAGGCTGAGGCTGAGGCAGGCTGAGGCTGAGGCCGAGGCTGAAGGCAGACTGAGGCTGAGGCTGAAGCAGACTGAGGCTGAGGCTGAGGCAGGCTGAGGCTGAGGCTGAAGCAGGCTGATGCTGAGGCAGGCTGAGGATGAGGCTGAGGCTGATGCAGGCTGAGGCTGAGGCAGGCTGAGGCTGAGGCCGAGGCTGAAGGCAGACTGAGGCTGAGGCTGAAGCAGACTGAGGCTGAGGCTGAGGCAGGCTGAGGCAGAGGCTGAAGCAGGCTGATGCTGAGGCAGGCTGAGGCTGAGGCTGAGGCTGATGCAGGCTGAGGCTGAGGCAGGCTGAGGCTGAGGCCGAGGCTGAAGGCAGACTGAGGCTGAGGCTGAAGCAGGCTGAGGCTGAGCAGGCTGAGGCTGAGGCTGAGGCTGAGGCAGGCTGATGCTGAGGCAGGCTGAGGCTGAGGCTGAGGCTGATGCAGGCTGAGGCTGAGGCAGGCTGAGGCTGAGGCCGAGGCTGAAGGCAGACTGAGGCTGAGGCTGAAGCATGCTGAGGCTGAGGCTGAGGCAGGCTGAGGCTGAGGCTGAGGCAGGCTGAGGCTGAGGCTGAGGCTGATGCAGGCTGAGGCTGAGGCAGGCTGAGGCTGAGGCCGAGGCCAACGGCAGACTGAGGCTGAGGCTGAAGCAGGCTGAGGCTGAGGCAGAGGCAGGCTGAGGCTGAGGCTGAGGCAGGGTGATGCTGAGGCAGGCTGAGGCTGAGGCTGAGGCTGAGGCAGGCTGAGGCTGAGGCAGGCTGAGGCTGAGGCCGAGGCTGAAGGCAGACTGAGGCTGAGGCTGAAGCAGGCTGAGGCTGAGGCTGAGGCAGGCTGAGGCTGAGGCGGAGGCAGGCTGATGCTGAGGCAGGCTGAGGCTGAGGCTGAGGCTGATGCAGGCTGAGGCTGAGGCAGGCTGAGGCTGAGGCCGAGGCTGAAGGCAGACTGAGGCTGAGGCTGAAGCAGGCTGAGGCTGAGGCTGAGGCAGGCTGAGGCTGAGGCAGGCTGAGGCTGAGGCTGAGGCAGGCTGAGGCTGAGGCTGAGCAGGCGGAGGCCTGAGGCTGAGGCTGAAGCGACTGGATGCTGAGGCTGAAGCAGGCTGGCTGAGGGCTGAGGCAGGCTGAGGCTGATGCAGGCTGAGCTGAGGCTGAGGCAGGCTGAGGTTGACGACCTGACTGCGACTGCCGTTGCCACTGCGACTGTCATCGCGAATGCGACTACGACTGCGAGAACAGCAGAATTCTACAACTGGATTCTCATCCGAATCTTAAGGGGAATGCTTCCAGATATGCTCCTGCACATCGCTGTTAGGTTGCTTTGCCGGGATAATTTTACGTGTCCCAGGGCCCCCAGAAATTCTGCCCCCCCTCCTGTTGGTGGTAACCATGGCCCTTTTCGGCTCCCCCCTCTTGCGCGGAGAACAAGAATTCTTTACGCTTCGCGTATCCCCACCAGCCCATCTCACAGCAGTAACTCTCGCGAAGCATGCCGACAGTCGTGTTTTTACCTAACAGCGAAGACTGATAGGTTTCTAGTGGTGTAAAAAGAGAGCAGCACATTACTCCAACATTACTCCACAGGGGGGTCTGGGCAGCCGTTGGGGAGCCGTTGGGGGGCCGTTGGGGGGCCGTTGGGGTTTGCCGGGGGCATCGTTTTTCGCATACAGTCACACACTTCGTGCTTTTCGATTTCCCAGAACTCCATTCCCGGGCCACATTCTGAATGCCCGGAGCCAACTGTAGGCCACTTCGTGCTCTTCTACTTCCCAGAACTCCATTCCCGGGCCACATTTTGGATGCCCGGAGCCAACTGTAGGCCACTTCGTGGTGTTCGAGTTCCCAGAACTCCATTCCTGGGCATGATTTTGAATGCCCGGAGCCAACTGTAGGCCACTTCGTGGTGTTCGAGTTCCCAGAACTCCATTCCTGGGCATGATTTTGAATGCCCGGAGCCAACTGTAGGCCACTTCGTGTTCTTCTAGTTCCAGAACTCCATTCCTGGGCCACATTTTGAATGCTGAGGCAGGCTGATGCTGCGGCCGAGGCAGGCTGAGGCTGAGGCAGGCTGAGGCTGAGGCCGAGGCTGAAGGCAGACTGAGGCTGAGGCTGAAGCAGACTGAGGCTGAGGCTGAGGCAGGCTGAGGCTGAGGCTGTAGCAGGCTGATGCTGAGGCAGGCTGAGGCTGAGGCTGAGGCTGATGCAGGCTGAGGCTGAGGCAGGCTGAGGCTGAGGCCGAGGCTGAAGGCAGACTGAGGCTGAGGCTGAAGCAGGCTGAGGCTGAGGCTGAGGCAGGCTGAGGCTGAGGCTGAGGCAGGTTGATGCTGAGGCAGGCTGAGGCTGAGGCTGAGGCTGAGGCTGATGCAGGCTGAGGCTGAGGCAGGCTGAGGCTGAGGCCGAGGCTGAAGGCAGACTGATGCTGTGGCTGAAGCAGGCTGAGGCTTAGGCTGAGGCAGGCTGAGGCTGAGGCAGGCTGAGGCTGAGGCTGAGGCAGGCTGAGGCTGAGGCTGAGGCTGATGCAGGCTGAGGCTGAGGCAGGCTGAGGCTGAGGCCGAGGCTGAAGGCAGACTGAGGCTGAGGCAGGCTGAGGCTGAGGCTGAGGCAGGCTGAGGCTTGAGGCTGAGGCAGGCTGAGGCTGAGGCTGAGGCTGAGGCAGGCTGATGCTGAGGCAGGCTGAGGCTGAGGCTGAGGCAGGCTGAGGCTTGAGGCTGAGGCAACTGAGGCTGAGGCTGAAGCAGGCTGAGGCTGAGGCTGTGGCTGAGGCAGGCTGAGGCTGAGGCTGAGGCAGGCTGATGCTGAGGCAGGCTGAGGCTGAGGCTGAGGCTGATGCAGGCTGAGGCTGAGGCAGGCTGAGGCTGAGGCCGAGGCTGAAGGCAGACTGAGGCTGAGGCTGAAGCAGGCTGAGGCTGAGGCTGAGGCAGGCTGAGGCTGAGGCAGGCTGAGAGGCTGAGGCAGGCTGAGGCTGAGGCCGAGG